CAACAAGATAAAAAAATATGAATTAAATTGATATAAGCAGTACAGCACAAGCTGAACTTATACTTGGACCTCCACAAATGAGGTCAAACATATTTACCTTGGTTTTATATCGCAGATGATCGCTGTTTTAGAAGACTGAATCATTTTCAGAAGATAGTTGTACACTGGAAAAACGATATAGAAATAAGTTCAAATTTCTTAAATGAAGTGTATTTACCCTTAATTTGAGTAGGTAAATGAGGTAGTTTGCCAATGGAATGAGTATTTTTACTCTTAAAATAAGATAATTAGATAACATTCACTTGAAATAAGACAATAAAATTGTGTTTTCTTATTTTAAATCTACATTGTCTTGATCCACACTGGAAAAAATAGTAATCAGATAATCCAGATAAGTCATTTTTTCTTAAAATAAGTGCATTTGTGCTTGGATTGATGAGGTAAAAGACACATTTTGCCAATAAAAACAAGGCAATTTAAACTTAAAAAAAGAAAACACAATTACATTGTCTTATTTCAAGCGCATATTATCTAATTATCTTATTTTAAGAGTAAATATACTCATTCCATTGGCAAACTATCTCATTTATCTACTCAAAGGAAGGGTATTTCTGGAGCGTTTTTCCAGTGCATTCACAAAATCCTCTTTTAGCTTCTTAATTCAAGAACAAATGCTCTTATTCTAAGAAATAATGACTTATCTAGATTTTGATTTTTTTCCAGTGTACTAATCATGATCTTTAACATTCTAACTGTGGTTTGTTCTGAATTTTCCTCTCAGTACTTTATGGTCTGACTTTGCAAGGTTGTCCATATAATATTTGAGACTTTCTTCTTAATAATCAGTCTCTATAAATTCAATTTAGTTTATTTGTATAGCGCCAAGTCATCTGAAGGCACCTTACAGTTCACCAGATCATACAGTCAGACTGGTTCAAGATTTTCTGTCTACACTGCAAAAACGATCTAGAAATAAGTAAAACTTTCTTAAATTAAGTGTATTCACCCTTAATTTGAGTAGGTAAATGAGATAGTTTGCCAATGGAGTGAGTATTTTTACTCTTAAAATAAGATAATTAGATAATATGCACTTGAAATAAGACAATGCAATTGTGTTTTCTTATTTTAAATGTAAATTGTCTTGTTTCTTTGGCAGAATGTCTCTTTTACCTCATCAATTCAAGAACAAATGCACTTACGTTAAGAAAAAACTGACTTATCTAGATTAACATTTTTTGCAGTGTAAGGAAAACAGGCTGATTGCTTTGATCCATTGACTCGACAGCAATCCCTCGCACCAAGCTTCTTTGTAGCGACAGTGGAGAGGAAAACTCCCTTTTAACAGGAAGAAACCTCCAGCAGAACCAGGGTCAGCATGAGGGGCCATCTGTCGGGGCCGACTGGGGTTCAAGGAGACAGAAGTGGACAAAGAAGAAGCAGAAAACCAAACGGCAACCAG